CTTTGACAAAAAGGTCTCTGGCCAAGAAAAGTATGCCAGAAAACCTCATTATATCAGTGAACAGATGTTTCCAGCCAGCTGGAATAATACACCTGTTGGTTCTTTAATTGGGACCCGAAAATTTTTACACTTTTTTCTGCTGCTGTGTAAAAAGGAATTTTCCCCACGTGCTGATAAGCTTAGTACTTAAGGTTTCTGAAAATGAAAATTTAAGAAGCCATAGGCGACAATTCTCCGTGAAGTATTATATATTGCAACAAAAAGAAGTAGCCATTGGCGACAATTCTCTGTGAAGAAAATAAATCGAACAAAGAAAAATTGTTTAAACGCGCGTCGGCTCAGTCATCTTAAGTCGCAACAACCAATCAGAGATGCGAAATGCCGACACGTGACGCGGGATTTGGGGAAGGGCGCGCGATGCCCGAAATATTTTTGCGTCAATATTCAGCGCCGTGTTTCAAGAGATTAATACCGAGAAACAAATTCTTTTCTTGTTTTGAACGCATAAACATGCATTTACGCTAATCTAGTATGATTCAGGGTTACTTTTTTTTTACCTGCCATGGCCAGATTATCTAAAGATGTGTGTATTGGGTGTACAATCTACAGAAAGAGAAATGTACATCAGGTCCGATCATCCGATTTTCACGTTTCGGTTTTTTGGACTCGGTTCATGAACGTATTTTGGTTTGGCTCCTGGAATGTGCGAAAAAAATGACTCCCGGGACTGTCTACAGGGAACACTCGCACATTCGCGGTGTATCAGGACAGCGCGACTGGTCGGCATTAGTGCAGTCCCTGCAATTAGTAACAGTTGCACATCAATCGGGCCGAAAGCATGATTGTGTAACACAGGCTACTTCTTCACCGGCTCATACTACACGACGCCTTTACAACTAGCAAATCATAAAATTACCCGATCTACTAGTACTGTATGTGCGGTTTACCAGCCCCAGACCACATCTGACCACGAGGCAGAACACATTGATGGGTTGCTCAAAAATATTGTCCATGTTTACAAAGAGCTGCTCCACTAACACTATGGAGCGGCCCAACCCAAAAATATTGGCCATGTATCGTTGCTAGGACGACCGGCCAGTTGCTACGTGACTAAATACACGCCGCCACTAGGTCGCCACACCCGACCAGTTTGAAATCGATAGGATTACGTTATCGGTATTATTAACATTTCCTAATGTTGACCATCAGCCCCGCCGCGACTTACTACCGGTGACATAAACGGACGACAACATTTCAACGGCATGGGGATGTTTTGAAAATAACCATTTACTCCAATATCAAAACAGCTACGGTAAAAATAAAAAGACGTGCATCATCCCGGACATAATGCAACACCACATGCGAAATTACACAGAAATGCGACGTACGGAAGAATGCGTTTTGGCTGCGAACATCTTCCAAAAAACTTGGCATCTCTTAACCATGGGCAAAAACATCTGGAACCACTTATCAAAACCACCCCGTATCTGCATGAACTTTTACCCCCCCCCACTGCTATTCCAAACAACGCGTTTTTCTGGACCATTCCAATTCGCCTCGTAATTGTAGGGGTGCGTCTGCGATATTACATTGACCGCGAAAGCAGCAACGGCAAAAATACACATTCGTGCATCAACACGGGCATGCCCGCAGACGGCGTATAAAATTGCGTGCCGATTACACAAAGAGAACCCAGTGTTTTGACTGCGAACATGAAAAATCAGCCGATCACAACACTCCGTCCGGAGGTCCTGACCTCCTTCACGGAGTAAAAAATCCATGTGATGATTTTTTCGCAATCTCTGAATGTCTGATGATGCAAATTCATTGCATTTAGAACATAGCTATGTGAATCATCAGACTACAAAACGGCATCACTTTTGAAGCAGACTAATGCCAAAAATGCCCCGCTAACCAACCGTCAAAGCTTCTAGCTTTGGGGTCCTTAACCATGTAAATCTCTAGGCAAAGACAGTGTTCTGCTACCTTATCTGTCATCCAGAAATAGAAAGTGACCTGTGATTATAGAGACCCATAATGATTGGTGGTTAGTCACATGACCCAGTTGGATGTCATAGTCCACAGTCCTAGTTCAGCACACTGGAGTTGAGAGTACAGACTGAGTTCAGATGTGAACATGTCTAGTAGGAGCCACAGTTATTCCAGTCTATTGCACCACGAGGAAGAAGGTACACAATCATGCCAGCTACTTTTCTTGATGTACATTTTACATGTTTATTTTTAGACTATGGAAATCTGATCAGGTATAAACACATTCTATACAGTAGTATGATACACTGACTCACCCACACTCACTAGCCAGTTTAGTATTGGTTCCCATCTTCCGAGGGTCAGATGTGCTTGCACACCAATGCTGGTACATAAGTCTCATACATTTTACTCTTGGGTAGTTTTATGACTTAGCAGTGTATCTTGCAGTAGGCAAAGATAAGTTATCTGCTCCAGGAATGTTCTATAGTCTTGTAATTTGTCGAAGTTGTGCCGGGGTTCTGGGGTTGCATATACTGCTGTAGGCCGGCTCACTCCTTGTTTTACCGTCTTGTATTTACATAGCTTACCGGCCAGTCCAATGCAAACATACATGTGCATGTTTTACTAGTAATCATTATCCAGCCAGGATGTCCACGTCAGACCAAAAATATGGTTCTTTAGCGCATGGAGCTGTAAGAAAATCTGTTCAGACTTTGGTTAAATCATGTACAAATTTACAACAAAGCGCGTAGTAGATACATTTCTACAAAAGCAGGCGCTGCTTTTCTGCCTACTATACAATGTACAATGTATGTTACAGGTAAAATTGGAGCTGTGCAGGTATTTCTGATGTCTACCTGTACCTATAACCTGCACCAGGTCTTGGATACATAAGTATCTATATGGATTCTGTACTGTTTGTTATCAGCTGTGATATAAAGAATTCAAATTGTCTCTTTACTGTTACTGGTTTAGTTCCTTTTTTTAATTTTTACCCCATAAAATCTATGTTTAGTATAGAAAAGTGCAGGTATTAAAGTACTCTGCAGAAAAGGGATTTTGAGCCATGTCATGATAAAGTGCATGGGGTGTGGCTCTCTTCAACATTGGACCTCCATTTACAACCCTCCAGACTAAATTTTTAGCTTAGGAGCGCATGCGCTCCTAGCCTCAAAAAGTTAGGCGCACAGGCAAACATTTAGGCGCGCAAACAAAAAATCTGGTCGCGCAAAGTACTTTTTAATTTACAAGCCAAGAGAATAATGTACCTAAACAGACAATTAATTATTCTTTAGGGGTGGGTACCTGTTCGGCTCTTTCAGGTCCAGAGGATCAGGTCCAGGTCCCGACCTGTACCTGTAACCTGATTCTGGATACCGGAGTATCAGTACCAAATAATGTTTGCTAAATGATCATTGCTAAATGCTAATGTATAAGTAACCAGTACAAACATTTTTATTTTTTTTAACTTTTTAAAAAATTTTATCCTACTTTGTTTTATCCAATTTTATATCTTTATCCAATTTTATATCTTATCCATTCTATACATTATCAAACTTCTCCCCTAGTCCTACAGCTACTAAAACCTCAGACCTAATATATTAAATAAATACATTAAACTGTCCAACAGTCACATTATCGCAGAATTTTGAACTCGCCCTCTAGCGGTTTGGACCAAACTGCAGCTCTCGCGCGAACTCTCGCGAGCTTTGAGCATTCGCGAGGTTTGGGAAGAAAAACAAGATGGCCGACACTCGGCTCGTCGGAGCGATAATTTGCCGAAGTTTTCTTGTTTTTCCTTGGTATTTTTCGCGATTCAAGCAAAGAAAACTAGTTTATCACAAGAACAAAAGAGTAATACAACACTGGGGACCTAATGGTCCATTTTGTTGGGCACTCATTTCGAGTGAAAATTTACGTGCAGCACAGTGTGACCATGTGGTGTTATTTGGTGAAAAATCAGTAATTTTCGGCTCAATCCGAACCAAATGCGGCCTGTAAAGTTCTCCTTTATTATTTATAGATGACTACTTCACGCTAGCTAGAAGTGGGGAGCTTTCGAGTATCGGGGTTCATGCCGCCGTGGTGCAAGCAGTCCGGGGCGAGATTCGGCAGCCAATAATTTTAGGCGCACTGCGGATTCTCTACCGGTCGCGCAGTGCGCGACCAGAGTAAAAAGTTCAGTCGCATTTCGTAATTTTTGGTCGCAGTCTGGAGGGTTGATTTAATAACATCCTATCTGAGGGATGTCCCTAGCAAAAGCTAGGTACTCATTTTCCTCCAAATAAAGTCATGTCAAGTGCCTTTCCCAAGGGTACAACATTGGGCATGTTGGTGGGTTCTGGGCCAACCACCCAATCATTAATGCCACACAATCCCACATGTACAGTTAAACCCTTCAAATTTCCCATAGACACAGGCATTAAGGACGGCCACCAGACTCCTGCAACTAAAACCAGTACTAGTGTTTTTCTGGCTAGGTAATATTACAGGACTGGTGATTAGGGATTACACTGAAAATTGTTTGATACTAAAATCCATTTCAATTCTTTGATTGGCATTTTACAGGTGTTAATAACCATTACAGCTAACTAACTCCACATGGACTTACATACCCAGCACATGCACCTGAGTGCAAACATTAGGATTCCATATATATTTTAGAAACCTCAGTCAGATAGTATTTCAAGCACTATAAATATAATTGTTGGAAATGACTGTATAGTGTTACCATGTGGTGCATTGGGCGGCACCCGGTTCAATAGCCCTTGGGCCACACAGTTCTGCAAGCACCACAGCATGGGGCTGATCCAGTGTCCAGTGGTGTGTGTTTGACTACCATACTCTTTACCAAATGCTGAGTGCAATGCAGAGAAAGTCCTAATTTTAAAGTTTAAAGGACTGAACTAACAACGCATCAAATGCAAGGTTGTATACTAGTATAGCCTAACTTTGTGCAAATTTGAAACTTGTGATTGAAAATGACAAATCTCTTACCTTGTTTGCAGGAGAGTCTTTATATCAAGTTTTGGGCCTGAAGAAAGATGCGACACCAGATGAGATTAAGAGAGCCTACAGAAAACTGGCACTGAAATTCCACCCCGACAAGAACCCTGACAATCCCGAGGCCACCGAAAAGTTCAAGGAAATCAACAGAGCACACAGTATCCTGAGTGATGAGACGAAGAAGAACATCTATGACGAGTATGGATCATTTGGTGAGTCACAATCTGCATCCACATACACACTGCTAACCTTACTTTCATTGTGGCAGTTTGTGTAGTAGTAGTAGACCATTTGCATCATTCCTCAGAAGAGCCATCCAGCAATTTCAAGGTGGCAAAAGAAAAAGTATTCTGGATTAGGAAATCTTTCTGATATTGACGTTTACTGCCATTTTGTGGCACATTTTTGTCATCATTTCGTATCAAGTGGTAGCCCCAAAACAAGCTCTGTGAGGAATCTCTTTATTTTTTTAGTACGGCCTATAAATAGCTAGAACCAGCTTATGAATGAATGAATGAATGACTGGTTTATTTGATCAACATGATCCTTAAAAAAGTACATTGCAGCCAGGTAAAGTGGCTGAATTGTATACTTTTTATGATAGAAAACAAGCAGCCATTTTCCATCAGGGACGTCATAATTTTTTACATTAGTGTGTTATGGGAGAGGGATGATTCAACTACATGTACTACAAGAGAATGACCGGAAAATTGACTTTGAAAATCCAGTTTTGCTGCCCTAAAAATTGCATTGGATGCCCTTAAATGCAGCTGACTTGCAAGCAGACTGCTGGTATGAGCTGTCCACAGCTATTTTTAATTTTTTATAGGTAAATCTTTCACCAGTCAGATTCTTGGGCAGCCTTCAAAAGTTCAAGGCACCCAAAGCGATTTCAGGGCAGTAAAGCAGTGGATTTTCAAAGCCAATTTTCTATGTATTTTTTAAAATGTAGTAAATGTAGAAAATGTTGAATCAATGGTATGGCATACTGATATGATATCAGTGAGGCAGAAATGGTTGACTGGTGCTAGGAAGTAGGTTGGGACATAAGTGTGGCCAAAGTTTATTTGATTCGTATAGAAAGGTAAGTGTGGCCAAAATGTAGTCAGACGGTTCCCGAACTTCAGTCGACCTTAGTCGGCTGGTGTTTGGGGGAGATTTCGAATGTGAGTCCATATTGTGATTTACATGTACAGTAACTAGTAAGGTGATGCTAGTAATTATAAGGAATTCTGTCTCTACCTCTTGGCTGTGTATCATTTGTTTTACTGGTTGACTGGTGATGGTTTTGGTGTCTTTGGCTGGATGGACAATGTAATAGTGGAGTTAGTTACATAGTATAGTGACGGACGAACGACATAGGATTAATAATTCTTTCTATGATGTAATTTACCCATTGAATGATTGTGATGATTATATAATACAGTTCGAATAGTATACAGTTACAAAAGTCTCAAAGGATTTTCTTGGTTGATGTGGTGGTGTATGGGCAATGTGGTAGGAGAGAAAAGGCCACAAACACAATCAGTAGAGAGTCAATGACATGAATATAGAAAGAAGGTATCAAAAACAATTGTTTTGGATGTAGTCGAGGTATGTGTGTGTTTATAGTTGGATGGTTTGCTGTAGGCAAATTTTACATGAGGTCAATGGCCGTTTGTCAGAAAGGTATTTTGAAAGTGAGATAACATTAACACAAGCCAGGGCTCGAAATTAACATTGTCCCAGTGTCAAATGACACTAAATTTTCAGCTTGGGACAATTCAAATTATGTTTCGGGACAATTTCAGGGCAATTGGAAAATTCTCAGACCATCCACGTCATTTAGGAACGTGATCCATCCATCCTGCTGCAGACTGCCGGCAGCCCATAATACTCTGACAAACATTTAAATTTGACGAATCAGGGATTCCAAATATCAGGGACGGTGCCATGCCCATGATATTATCATGTATTTCCCTACATATACTAATAAAGTGGACTTCAAGTTGTACAAATTCAGTTGTTGTTTTCTTATTGTTGTCATAAACTTATTTCCTGAAAAGCAGGCTGGGACAGTCCATCTTCAGTTCGGGACAATTGAAATCTATGTTTGGGACAATTCTGGGACAATAGTAAAAAAAGTTAATTTCGAGGCCTGACAAGCCATGCCCACTTACCAGTAGTTTAAAATCTACGATTTCTTGTTTTTTTTTAGGTCTGTATGTAGCAGAACAGTTTGGAGAAGAAAACGTCAATACCTACTTCATACTGACCAGTGGCTGGTGTAAGGCACTGTTTGTGTTCTGCGGCATCATCACCGGGTGCTACCTCTGCTGCTGCTTCTGCTGCTGTTGTAACTTCTGCTGTGGGAAGTGCAAACCACGGCCAGAGGAAGACGAGGAGTTTGTAAACCTCAACCCGGAGGATTTACAAGTAGACGAGGAGGACTCGCCCGTCACGTCTCAACCCCAGGCCTCGGCCGCGATGCCCATGCCCGCACCGGCGCCCTCAGAAACAACAAAGTTAGACACGGCAGATCACCCGTCATATACAGAGGAGAAGAACTTGTAGGGATCCATAGTTAATATCTATGTCATAGGTGTCTGGAACAGTCTCATGTGACTTAGGCTTCTCTGTGGCACATAAAGAGAACACTTCTAGCATCAAGGTCAAGAAGTACATAAAACCAGCCCATGGACATCACTCCACACTATTCAACCTCTTAGCTATAATATGTTTTACAGGATGTTTCTGAAATAGGAAAAGAAATTCTACAGATTTTTGGGTACACTAACTTTATTTGATTTGAGATTGTAGCACCAGTTACCAGTCTATGATGGAATGTTGCAACATCATCAAAAACAGATGATGCATTCCTACAGTAGAAAATAAAGGTGTTATTGTCAGACAAAAAGTAGGAAGACACGTGACCTTAACTTTTTGAACACTGACGGATCATTTGCAAAAGTGTCATACATGGCTTAAACACCAAAAAGTGGTTTAGATGAAGTGCATGATGGTCCATGTTGCTGGTGAGTGATGGGATATCCTTGAAAACTGCCACTGACAAAATTGATCAATTTTAGGTCACACCAATATAAATGTCTTGGTTCTTGGATTTGCTACTTCAGCATCTTCTGATTTGAACAAAAAAGATTGCACATATTGCATCATGCAAAATATCTCAAAATAGCTGGATAAAATGTCTTTAAAGTTATTTGTTACAGTCTTTCATCAGTGACTGAGAATGAGGCTCTGAATTATTATGTACATGAATTACAGGAGAAACTCCAGTAGGTCCTATTGGATCTGAGGGCCACTGGTCTTCAGACTCATTCTCAATCACAGATGAAAGATATTAGATTCTATCTGACACATCTAACTCTCTAGAGAATATATACAATTGTATACACTTTTTTTTAGATTTGAATGATTTTACCTGGATGCCTAACCTTGATCAATTAATCAACTCTAGTATGCTCATATTTTTGCAGCATCAATTGAAGCAATTCCATATCTTTTAATTGTTATAGTTTCTCAAGTAACCAATGCAAAAAAGTTCTACATTTCTTGTGCTAGCCTCTGGGTCTATCACATGATGCCTGTTATTCTGTTCTCACAAAAATCTGAGAAGCAAGAAATGAAATTGATGTGTCCTTGTTAAGTAACAATCACCCTTTTGTCACATGAGACTGATAATGTTTAAAATAAGAGCTAGCTTTACTTTTTTTATGAAACTTGGTGTATAATTTTGGCAAGGAACATTCCAGTCACTTCTGTGAGTTCAAGCTATGTTCTTTGTCTTTCTATATTCATGCAAAAAATATGTACCTTCCCACCTAAGTTACAATATGTAACAGTTAGAATAAGTTATGACTTGTTGTTTCGTGTTCTGTGTTCAAGGTTGGTTAAACTCAGGAGTTTGGTTGTATATTCTGTAGTGTTGAGCATGATGACACATGTACTACCATGTAGATGTACATGTACTAGTTGTATGTTACATGGCAATCAATCAGATCTATAGTCTACAATATTCTAAGAAGTCATTCACAAATTACTTCCAGGTTTGATATTGTGCGTCAGATGACAGTGTTTTACTTGCACTAAATCAAATACCTGTACGTCTTAGGTGTAACAAACATTGGTATTGGTAAGCAAACTCCTCTGATGACCCAGAAATCTTACTTCAATTACCCATGACAAAGACACAACACCTCAGATTGTTTCTTCCAAACACCCACCAGTGGTGTTTTGCCTAAGAATTGAATTAGCACAGATTTGATATGTGATGTTTAGAACACAGGCTGACAACTTTTTTCTGCCTCAGAATTTTGATGTTATTTTATCATGCCAATCATTCACATAATACTAGTCACTGATGCCTGTTTTAACAAAATATGTACTGATCATTCTACCAATTTAAGGCTGTGTTGTGATTTGTTATCAATTGTGAGAAATTGCTGGTGCATTTGAAAGTGTTTACTTATCAAACCCTTAAGGTGGCACTGTAGCTACCAGGTGATTTTCATGTAGCTGTACTGTACATAGCACCGTATATAGTAGTCCAAGTCTATACTCTCATATAGGATGCTGCAGTAGAAGGACCCACTATATCTATGTAAATACCGATCATATAACTCATCTCTAATAATATCTAAGTGAAAACTAGTGGTCTAGGTTTAGGTAGTTGTACAACCATGTGTAACAAGATATGTAAAGGAGGAAGTCTACACCAGGTTAAAAAGATTAGTGTTTAGAGTAGAACTGTGTCATGTTCTAACAAATGGGATTCATAAGCTAATGTTATTTTGTATCCCATGATATCACGATATATAGGTGTCAACAAATGCTTATTTAGGCAGCCATCTTGTTTAGTAAATGTCAAAGGTCAACAGTGGAACATACAATGAGTACAAGCAAGAAAATAACTTCACTCACTCCAGTATGGATAGGGTTTTTGCCAAGCCATGTTGACATTATAATAGTTTGAAAGTGGGGAGAAGCAGTACAATCCCTGTATTGTGTTCATGAGGTCCACTGCTGATATGTCTGTATAATGGACACAGTCAGTGATATGGATAAGGATACCTTGGGTTTTTGCATTTTGGTTCGGTTCAGAGATAGTGTCCACATCATGTTAACTGGCGTTGATGTTACAACATATTTGTCCACCATACTACGTACTGTAGTTAGTAAAATGTTGTAACAATCTGCAAATTGTACTGCTGTAAAACATCACTTCTTCTCTCAACATGCAGAGAAGTGACTACCCATGAACAATTATTCTGGACGTTATATAATAAATGTGCATCCTGGAGTATCCTCTGTATCCCACAGGCTTTATGGATGGATACTTTTGCATATAGCTGGTGTCAGCTCTTTGTGAAACTCGTGTCTGTAGGATTGTGATGTTGTAAAAACCTTCTTGATTCATGTGCAAACCTTAAATCTGTTCTGCGTGTTTGGTGTTTTCCAGTTTTTGTTTCTGATACCAGGTACATTTGGAACAAATCGTGTATAATTCAACATTATCTCATGGAGCTATTATGAAGATGTTTCTGTTGTTAAGGAAACTAGCTGGTCTTGCTGCTTAATTTATTGTGGTTGAAGAATTACACACAATGTATTTAATATGTTATTGTTTTGAATAAGATGACCTCTGCTTGAATGTAGTTTAACTTGAGCAGTATTGTGTTTTGTACATACTGTGTTTCTATTGTTTTGACATCACAACTTATACATCTATCAATGTATAGATTTATGTTTTGAGTCAGTGTTCGGCCATGGTTTTGTACTCTTCCAAAATGTTTGAAGACTGAGTAAGGGCATGTTTATTGTCATTGTTTTCCATGATGACTACACATGTACCTGGTCAGAACATCCATGGAAATCACAAGAGAATCATGTCTAATTTTCATGTCATGACCACATTAAAACCACTAGATTAAGCCACACTCTTCCAAGCAGTTAAGGTGTTAGATCTCCTTCTACATCAAAAGTGCCATTCAATGTCCAACAGAATGGAAGATCCATCATGATAAAAAAAATCAGTAAATGTGCATAGTGCTCAGCATTTATGATTGCTGACACTGCTTTGGAATGAGAAGGCATACCAGCAGACATTTCTACAGGTTAAGACTTGATGTGATTCATGGACCATGAGTAAACAAACACCCAGTTTAGTTCATGGTCACAGCAGCTGCTAGCCCACCTGTGGTGTGTGAAAGGACCTTTAGCAAACCTGGGATACTGTTATCTCCAGATTAGTCCCACTTATTGCAGTATGCCTGTCATCATTGCCCCATAGATTACAATGTATGTAATTACTCCAGAAGAAAGTGATTTTAACTGAAGAATACAATGTATAGATGAAATCATAGGCAGCTTGATATGTGTATGACAAATGTTTGATGTTTACTTGGTGTAGGAGCTCATACGTTGTTCTTGAGTATGCCATATTTTAGAAGTACAGTCATCTCTTTGCTTCTGAGGTGTATCATGACCTTGGTCAGGGGTATATGTTACCTTGGTCAGGGGTATATGTGACCTTGGTCAGGGGTATATGTGACCTTGGTCAGGGGTATATGTGACCTTGGTTAGGGGTATATGTGACCTTGGTCAGGGGTATATGTGACCTTGGTTAGGGGTATATGTGACCTTGGTCAGGGGTATATGTGACCTTGGTTAGGGGTATATGTGACCTTGGTCAGGGTATATGTGGAGATGATTGTTCTGTCTGTAGGATGTAAGTCATACTGTAATATACACATGTAGGCTAAATTATTGTATGGGTTCATCTGTACTTGCTCTAAATCTTGAATGTCTACATTGTCCAAGAAAATAAAATGACAAGTCTTTTATCACTGTGTGACTATTATTGAACACTGGAACATCAACAGATACCAATTTACAATATATACTAAGTAAAAGTACTTTAAGACCTAGTTTGCGCAATCAGTACAAAAGTGCTATGATTCCTCAGTGAAAAATTATAGGAATTTCATAACGATTATTAGGGCAAGAGCTCAAATCATATAATTACATGTAGATGCACCAAGCCACGACTCCTGACCTTTAGTTCTTTATTTAGCTTTTCCATTACAGAATGGAAGACTAAACAAGTGATCACTCACCTCTTCTTGTTCTCTCCCCCGCAAACATACAAATTACATACAGGAAAAATATTAAAGACAATGTACAATTTGTAACTATTAGAATGCAGTACAATACTATAAATATGATATTCAAAATACAAAGCAAAAATGACTACTAGTAAATCAGAGCAGATACAGGTAATACAGGTAGAGCAGCTGATATCCAGGTATATGGAGTGTCAAAGTTGTAAAGTTCACTAAACCTGTTAATGTAAGTGATTCAACAACTGCCATTTAAACAACTGTGTTGAGGCTGGGAGACACAGGCCTGAGGCTCTCAAGTTGACCTGTATTCTATTCCAAATATATAGCAATATATGAGAAGGCAAACTGAATGGAAAAAAAAAGGTTTTTATTGTCCAAACAGTACCTGTGCAGTCACAGCCTTTGATGGCTGAATTGATGCAGGGTATCACATAATAATCAATACAAATCACAACAAACAAGTAATACACATGATAACACATGTATTTTCTCCACAATTTTTGTGGAACTGTCGCAAGGGTCTGTGCGGCTGCCAATCAGCGCCACAAGTTGACCTCAATATGACTTTCCCCAACCGAGGTTAGGTACCCATTCACACCTGGGTGGAGTGAGGAAAGTTGTGTTAAGTGCCTATCCCAAGGGCACAACATCGGGGCGCATGTTCAGACATGTCCCGGGTACGACTTGGGTTCGAACCCGGGTCTCCCAGTTCACAGTCAAATGATCTACCACTACGCCACACATGGAGTCATCATGTTGGATCTACAACTTCTCATGCTTCTCGATGAGAAAGAAACATGTCTAAGTGAGAGTCACACTGGCCAGAGATTTCACAAAGAGTAAAACCTCAGCTGCTTCTCTCCTAAATGTGAGAGGTAACATAGCAAGTGTGGTCAGTCTAGATTTGTGGTCAGGTTGTTCAGGGTAGTGCTGCATACAGGTTCACTGGACTTGGATCCGGACTTGTAAGATTGTTTAGGTTTAAGTCCAAAAAAAAACCTAAAAGTCAAAAACTGAGTCCGGACTTATTACCATATAAGACCATTTCACATACCCCTTTTCTTTCCAAACCACCTAAAACCATCCGTAGATTGCAAAATCTTTGCTGCAAAATGAAGAAAACATTGCCATCAGGCATCGTCAAGTACCGCCCCCCATGTTATGTGGCCAAAGTTTTACCCAGACAACATTACAAGGTTGCCAACATGCAATTTTGTATATGCCATGGGTTTTACAAGTCCGGAACTGAACCTATTATATAAAACCTCTGGACTTGAATCCGGACCTGAACCTAAATATGGGTTCAGGTATGCAGCACTAGTTCAGGGTCAACACCAAGTATGTACCAAGTTGCCCTATGTTGCAAACCTTCTAGGACACTAGTCAGCTTATGTGACCCAGGACACCAAATAGGTGAACAGTACTCTTCTGACAAAAGTTACATAGAGTAACTTTCAACTGTATCAAATATCCTACATTGTGCTTACAGTGTTCTCGCCAGGCCTTTTGAGCAAGGGGGCCCCTATGCTGTGATTTGGACCCCCTATATGCTGTGATTTGGACCCCTATGCTGACTTTCAGCCAACATTGGGGTGTTTATTGGGGGGAGAACATTAATAAATCTTGCTAAAAATGAAACTATAACTTTAGAATTAAGCTATATCAAAGAGAAACCTTAACTTCACAAAATCTCTCCCTCAATAAATGAGAAGTAGTGTCTCAGGGGTTTATGAGTTTTGTAAGTGGGTATTGGGTTTTGTACCAGTCTTTCTGTGGACACGGGACAGTTCTCCGCTCCCCGTGACAGGTGGCTGACTGCAAGAATCAGAAACAACGCCCAAGAAATACTAGTACATGGGGAGAGGCGGACTTTTGAGGACATCGTATTTCAGTGTTAGCCTGTCGACGCCGGCACGTCTGGTAGGACAAGTAGCGCCAAAATACCGCTCGCTTCTGTTGAGAAAGGCTCCGTCTTGAATCCTGAGTTTCTCGTTTTTCTTGAACCCTGTGCGTAGTTTGTAACAGATACGTTGTACGGTTGGGTAACAAAAACTTCGACTGCAACTACGCTATCCAGCTATAAGGGTCAGCTTGTCAGCGAACTGTTTACAGACAAATGGTGACATCAATTATGGCTAAAATCGTTAAACCTGTTGAACAAGTGCTTCGGAATCAGAGATTCGCCTCTGACAAGGTCGAATCATCAATCTTAATTTTCCGCGTGATCGGGCGATAGACAAAAGACAGATATTGATTACTTCACATCTGAGCGGTTGTATTTAGACACATTTTGATCTTTGGCAGACCTTAAATGACCCCGGAGACCTCTGATCTCTTAGCTACTCTCCACAATCAAAACATGGAGCTTCACGTGCACGTCTTTCTCTCTTAAAGAAGTCAAACCCAACTTGTCTAGATATAGCCAGTACACATGCACTAGTAGTCTAGTACATACTTGAAGTATGAAGGAAAACTTGGATCCAGCTACAGTCAAACAACTTGACTTGACGCCCAAGCGACCACCTGTATGAGCCGACCATCTGGCCAAAGCGACAGCTGAGCTATTGCTTGGTCCCGATTACGCACTTGTCCAACGGCAACGCGACGGCGACTTGCAATTTTATGGCGGATCAAATAATCTTACTCAAAGTCAAACTTGATTGCACAACAATGGTAACACGTACAATGTATGGCAGGCTCTTCAGAGTTGATATATATCTAACTGATATCTACTCTAACGTCTACAATAATGCTTATAAATTCTACGTGTTTAACCTCGCACCCCTATGTAATTATCACACATGGTACCGTCCGTTCTACCAGGTGCAGACCAGCTGTGGCGCACGTTGTCGTGTGGCGTGTTGAGAGGCTCGTGACGCGTTGAGCGTAAATTCTCTGTCTCCAACGTTTGGGGTGAATTTTCTGCTTTTTGTCCGCAAATTATACGTCTTGAGTGTACAGTATATCGTCTGAACGTTTCCAGGTCGGATTTATGCCGTTCTTTGGATGTTTGAGCATGGTTTGAAGGAGAGAAGTCGTTTTTCCTGGCAGGGCGGAGTTTGGGATTTGGACGAAAATGGCGACTGCCATGGTGGGAAGGACGGCGTGGTGCTGAGAAGACACGGTCTTCGAGGTAACACAACAAATTATCTCCTTGAATGTACATGTTTGTACTTACAACAAACCTGTAGCAACAGACCACGTTATAATTCGTTATGTTAAACCGCTATATTCCGTAGAAATTTGCGTTTGGTGGACGCTTATGATTCTCGTGCACAATTGTGTTGTTTTAGGCCATAATTTTTAACGTTAATTTTGTTAGGGAGGCTGTTTTCTTGACTATCGGTTTTGGGGAACACTAGATATATTTCTTCCGTGTTGAGTGGGATTGAAAAACACTAGGAGCTAAAAACGGTTACCACAGTTTGGCCGAGTGACACACCTTTTGGAACGTGTACCGCACGTGTGCATAATTGAACCAAACCGTTGGGTACAGGTCGAATCGCCCCATGTCACTTTCGCCCCGTCTATTTACTACCAGATCGCCCCATGTTTATGTGACCTGAACTATGTTTTATTAATGTGATATTCGCGTATTTTGGTAACATTTATATTCTCTAGATGTTACCAAAGCCTTGTGACTATATTTTGAATGTTTCTCCTGCGTTCGGCAAGTATTTGACGCCGATGAAAAGTCCGGCTCCGCGGCGGGCCGACACGCGATCGGGCCCGCCACCGAATCGCAGACCGGCAGCTGCTGTTTGTGAAAACACTAGAGTTATGGCAAGATTTATCAAGAAATCCAACATAACAGAACCCCATAAATGTTCACAAACACGAAGTAGATTAGTAAATGTTGCAGAGTTTCTTAGAAGTCTACTAAATGTGCGCCCGCCAAAAACGTAGTGTAAACAAGACTTCCCATGGCCCAAGGCTAGAATTAACTGGGTGCATGTACTAGTATTATGCACTTTTGAGTACCCAAAATTAAACCTGTGCACAAGTAAAAGTAGTTTAATTTCGGTTTTGTGTATCCTTGCTTTTGAATCAGAGGTTGTCAAATTGGTATTTTACTGGATTTTATACTTAATTGCCAAATTGTATCTGTTAACGTTATATGTAGTTAATGTTAAATGGTATATATAGTAAAATATTGAACTTTATTCCAACACACAATTATATAGGGCCATATAGAGATCAAATTTTCAACAACCACTGTTGCCTTCATCAGGATAATTAATGACCAATCACTTCACAACATGATCTCGCGAGAGTTATGCTTTACAAACACGTGACCTTATTCACACTAGCCTGGATGCCAGACCCAAAGCACACTGGACAGACTTAACTGAAGTGCCAGGGAGTTTATATCGTCCACCAACTCTATTAAGTGAAGGCTGAAGTGCTCTGATATACATGTACTAGTATATGGCCTCCTTAATTAATCATATAAATTATAATGATGCTTAGTCCTGTTCAGTGTCCAGTCTTCTAACTTTGTCCAAAGAGACGGTATGGCCCGGTGATTTGATGTGGATGTGTTGAGAAACTTTAGGACAGTGAGCTGGGGCATTTGTGTTCAAGAAATCTGGTCCTCAGTGAGCGTTCTGTCTCGCCAGTATAGGATTCTTCACATACAGGTCCCCTGCCTTGGTTCCCACTACACCACACTTATCTTCTTTAGGTGTTTTGTCCTTCGGTGCCATGCGGAGCTGTTTCAGTGTGTTAGTGAGTTTGAAGCAGGTGGAGATAAGGTTTGAAGCGAAGATTCTGCGCAGGTAATTGGTATATAATTGTATAAAGCAGTCAATGTGGTTGCACTGATTTGATGTTTAGGAAGAACTATGCAATCTTGGTCCTTGTATCATTTATATTTATACAGTATGGCTAGTGTTAGTAGTAAGTACTTTGTCTTTTTCTTGTTTAATTGTATGCAACTGTGATTGCCATTTTTGTGGCTTATGTAACATTATGTCTACTGAAGGAAAACATTGTTTTTGCTCAGTTTCTTCTTCCATTCCAAACACCAAAAAAAAATCAATATTTTCATGATCAGAGCCTGAAAGCATGGACTTGTATTTAACCTCCTTGCTGAAAGAAAATGAAATCCAGCATGCTGGTAAGTTGGTACATAAGACACTGAACTGTGGTCAACATAGATGACAAAAAATGATTTTATTGGCAAAAAATGGGGAAAAAAACTTTAGAATCCAGGTCTAGAAACTGGAACTGGGGTCATTGACCCTGGGTCAATGACCCTAGTTAATTGTGTCAATGACCCCGGGTCAATGACCCCAGTGCTAGGATTCCAAATATGGAAATAGTCGGAAAACATATGGGTAGCGAAGCAGTCGGTGCCTTCAAATTCTGAGGGCCTGCATGCCAGGCAGTACAAGACTTTTTAGTTTCACAGTAATGAGGTTGAGAAATGGTCACCTGAATGCTGTAAAAAGTTGTGTTTGTAGTGAATTTCAGCTTATATTTTTACATTGGCAAGGTCCTTGCCCTTTCTCTATTTGCCATTAGGGCACATACCTTTAAAGCTTAGTTAGGCACCGGACCTGATCAGTGTAAATAAAACCCCTGAATACAAATACCATTCAGCCAAGGCGTGTAACTAAAACTCTAGATGGCTCAGACATCACAGGTTTGAAAAACACAGCAAAATGGCAGCTGCACCGTCAAGTCTGGGAACACAAATCCGTGAAGAACTGTCCTGCAGCATCTGCCTGGAGCTGTTCACCAGGCCCAAAGTGATGCCCTGTCAGCACACCTTCTGTCAGGACTGTCTACAGGACCATGCAGAGAGGAGAGGAACTTTCCAGTGCCCAATCTGTCGTCGGCAGGTCAGGCTGCCACCCCTGGGGGTTGCAGGTTTGCCGGACAATCTCATGGCCGCAAGTATGTGTGAAAGATTCCAAGTGATAGTCCAGTCTCTCCCATCTGCACCAATCACAGCAGCACCTGCAGCAAAGGGCACACGTCAACACCATGGTAACCAAAGGCAAGTGGTCCAGTCTCTCTCATCTGCATCAATCCCAGCAGCACCTGTAGCAAGGGGCACAGGTCATCACCATGGTAACCAAAGGCAAGAGGAGCATCAGCCTCAGAAGGTGACATTTGGTGGAGAGGGATTAGGAGCAGGGCAGTTCAATGGCCCATGGGGAGTTACAGTGTCAGATGAAGGGGAGATCTTTGTAGTTGGCTGGGAGAACCAGAGAATCCAAGTCTTCACCCTGCAGGGAAAAGTTGTCCGAGAGTTTCCAACAGTTGTGTCAGGTGAAGAGGATATGGGACCACATGATGCGGCCCTGGACAGGGAGGGGAACCTGTGGGTGGTGGGTGGGACAGACTCTGCTGACTTTGCTGTGCATTACAACAAACACGGCAGGGTGCTGAGGAAGTTTGACCTACAGAGGACAGGGAGGGCGAGAGGAGTTGCCGTGGACACCAGGAGGAACCACATCTTCATCACACAAACCACAGGAGACTGGCCCAACCTGCATGGTGAAGTTTTGGTGTTCAGGCCAGATGGAACACTTGAGAGAACTGTGGGTCAGCAGCAGGGGATGAAGCACCCATGGTACCTCACTGTGGACAGGGAAGGGAACATTCTTGTGTCAGATGAGGTGAATCAGTATGTCTATGTGTACAACGAGGACGGACTGTTTCTGTTCCAGTTTGGAGGTGAGGGAAGTGGTGAAGGTCAGCTGAAGTATCCCCTTGGCCTCTGTACAGACAGGGCAGGGAACATCATTGTGGCAGTGGGGGGAAACAGCCGTGTGGAGATGTTTGACAAGACAGGAAAATTCCTCAAACACATCACTGCAGACCTGAAATGGCCACAGGCTGTTGCCATGACAACACAGGGACAGCTGGTAGTAACTGATCGTGTTGAGCACAAAGTCAGCATATTCCAGAACTTCTGGATCTAAGTGATGTGATGATAAAGCACTAAACAACTTAGTCTAAACCAATCTGTAAGAATATCAATTTGCAAACTCTTTTGTATAAAGCTTGTTACTATATATATTTATATATAATACATTATAGCAAAGGAAACTATCAAATGTTACAAACAAAGTGCCCAAGATCCCAGCCTAAAGGCCCCTGGCCAACTAAAATCAGTCTGCCACTAATAGCTTATTAACAGATAGAACAGAAATATGTACATTAACAAAGGATATTATTATATTTTGAATCATGAGTAGGAATACACTATAGACAGCATAGATAGATAATTTAATCAGCAAACTACAATGTAAAGGAAACAAACTGTAAATTTAATTTGTCTATAAATGTCTCAAGAAGAGAGTTGAAACATACAAATACAATTATGTACTCAAACTAGGAAGGTCAGTTTAATTCATTGTGGGCTTACATACATGTGTAATTTTTGCAGGATCTTTCCACTGAGCAACGTGGAAAAGAAATCGTGTACCACTTTCAAACCAGCTGGAAAACAGTTGCAGACTGCCTAAATAGAATTTTGCACATAAATTTTCACATTGCACCTAAAATGTTTGCCACGTATCTGAAAAAAAAAGTATTTCGAGCCCTGCTACATAGTATGTATTTAACCATGGATTTTATTCTAGCCATTTTTAGTGTCCCGCGCAAACTCTCTCTCTCTCTCTCTCACAGTCACGCACACACAAACACACACACCGGCACGCATGCACGCACGCACACACACAAACACACACACTGACTCGCACACTCACACACACAGTAATACTTAGTTACAAAGTGTGGCTCAACATGCGACTATATCAGTGGCGGTGCTTCATAAAGCCTTCCTCACTACCTCACATGAAAGCTAGTAGTCCCAACAATGTCATCTTGGAATAGCAAACATAGTCAACTTATTTTTTTCATCAAACAATTTCCAATTATGCTTTATTAGTCTGTGCCTCAGGTCAAACTATTGTTAGCTTGAATTTTCAGCATGGCAGTGTGGATTCAGATTGTACTCCATCATTGTAAACAAACGGTGTTCGAAATCTGTTCTGTTTGTATTATGATGTTTTCGCAAATCACTTGGTTTTCAAGTCTATCTTAATTTTAGTCTTCTCGAAATGCGGGCACAGGGCAAATGTTGCTCCTATATATGATATTTTAAAATCGTTTTCTTTTTATGTATGATTGCTGAAAGATATTGGTGCCTATAATCTATGTTCTAATATTATTATGAGATACTAGATCACTCGTGGAAGATCATTATTTTCTTCAAAGTTTCATACAGCGTTATTTGTAATTTCATGTGTGCTTTCAATATCACCATACTTTTAAACGTAGTCCACCCAGAATGCTACAAAACAGCCAGACACTGAGGGTTACACTTAAGACATTTTATTTCAACTCCCAAAACTTGACATCCAGACATTGTAGTGTACCATACCTGGTGGTGCCAATATCAATCGTGTTTGAGCTAGTAAAGACCAACGTCCTGTGACTCTTTCAAGTCTATTATGAACATAATTTTTTTCCCTTATTTTGTATGTATATGACCTATGTTACGTTAACATTATATTATCACTCGCTTTTCCGGTCTGAACAATATTGTATTATTCAACATCAAATCTTAAAGTTATTCACTTCTGTCTGAAATTACATGACAATACACAATCATATTTACTTCATTTTATGACGTTTGTTTACTCCATAGAAACCATACATCACTCACGGGCTCTACAGGCGTACATATATAGTACTAAACACTATGATGCAAAGTTACTGAAGTATATGATAAGATATTATATCTTATCATATACCATAAGATAGTGGGGTACATGAAACAAGCAACTGAAATACAATGTACATTGCGGAAATGATGCAAATCATGGAAAATGCATAATTTTGCCGGATGTTAAAAATAACATAAAAAGTTATTGTGTGACACCACATTCCGGGTTATATAATTATAGCATAGCATAGGAATTTAGGATGAGGGTCCATAGGAGGAGTACACCAGTACAGGAGAGGTGTATAAATTCTAGATGGGCTTTTGGCAGTTGTAGTGAATGCGCTCTTTCTTAGGCATGTTATGAGAGTGAAACTCCCTCCTACACACCCAAGGGTGGGAAGGGAACATTGCCCTTCATGATCAGTGCCTTGAAAAAAGCACTGTTAATGATCCTGTAATGAATTTCAACCACTCCAGCCTAGACTCTAGTTCAGAGTGACACATGCAGCATGCATGGTTTCAGCTAGTACGTAGTGATGGCACCCTATGGTGGGAGCCCTGTTTTGTACAGTTCCTGCAGTTGATCTATGCAACCCTTGCTATCTTGATGACTGGTTTATTGATTAAAACATTTTGTAGCCCGGAGGATGAATTGCATGTTTCCTTACATCAGTGTCCACCTTGACCTTAACAACTTTAAAATATCCTTCTAGCTAAGAATTTATTGATAAAATTGAATTGCGATCTCTGTACATGTACCATCAATTTCATTTGTGTATTGCTTGCATACTTGGTACAGTGCAATTGCTTGCTTCACAACCTCACCATCATAATAATAAATGATTATAACTTCACCACTTGAAACAGTAAGTGCCACATGCACAGCAAGCAAGGATACCCCACCAGAAAGTGACAAATGATGCAGCATGACTCTGGATCAGAAGGTCGCGAGTTCGAGTCCCAGGAGCTTCGTTTTTTTTCTTGCATGCTTCTGGGTTTCAGTCCAAACACTCAGATGCTTGTCATTTATAGAGAATGCTAATGTCTATGATTTTGTTTTGCTATGATACATAATAATTTTCAGGCTAATATCATGGTAAATTATTGTTGTACAGACATTTTACAAAAGGTTTGGCACCACCAGCACTATATTACTTAGTAATACATAATGTTTCTCTTTTCTAATTTGAACCAAGAAGGAGTATAAAATGTCTTTGTAAGTTTCAAATAAGAGGCATTTAATTATAGAGCCGTAAAACCAGATTATTTTTTTACATGAAACAGATTTGCAAACTAAGGTAGAACCCAAATTATCCTCCTTCCTGGTTACCAAAAAAGGAAATACTAAAAAAAAAAACAATTTTAGAGGAAGTCCTTGGAATGAGATGTACATGTATATTATTAGTAGTATCCGCTTCAGCCTAGATACTGTCATAATCATTAGCAGGACAGCTAGCATCCAGGCTATAGCTTAATATTCCAATAGCAATCTCGGCAATTTTGGTAAAAATGTAGTTTAGGAGCTAGAATTTCAGTGAGACTGTAGTAAGTATACACTTTGGAAGTTTGGTCTCCGTACATACTCTCATCTGCCAAATAAACATACGGGTACGTTTATTTTTTTGGGCCCAAACATCCACCCAGTACGTTCTTATTTTGCACAGTACGTTTATTAATTTTTTGAAAACCAGTAATTTTTTTCAACTTCGTGTGAAAAAAATTGACAAATCATCGACGTGAAGACGTTTATAAACGCATATTGTAGCGAGAAACCTGTCATTTTCGGGCCGGTTTTTGCAATCATCGCGTGCATAAATTCGTCTGAATGTTCTATTGTCATGGGTGGTGCTTATCAAAATACAAAATATTAAATGCTCTTTTTTATTGTCTATTTAAATTCCTAATTGCAAATAACAGTTAAAGATTTGTGCATATATCAGTAAGGGTGCATTTTAGTACAAGAGACACAGGTTACCCGTCAATTTTGGTAATTTTCTGGGGGGTACGTTTATTCCGGGGGTATGTTTATTTGATTTTGAAGATTTGTCCGGGGGGTACGTTTATTCCAGGGGGTATGTTTATTCGGCAGATGAGAGTATTCAGTTTCCAAATTTTGCTATAGATAGGAGCAATTAATTTCTGTTTTTTGAGCCCCGTATGCTATTGTTGTACAGAATTGTCAGAAATGAAGACATAAATGATTGATTTCTGCCAATCTCAAAACTGCAGGGTTTACCATGTCCTTTTACAAAACCCAAAAATCTTAGAACACTGAAATTTACTTCTATGACTTCTTATGTTGTCTTGTCAAAACACCAAATGTTAGCTCTATAACTTTTTTATCAAAGCAAGAAATTTCTGTACAGTTGTTAAAACATTTAAGCAAAAATTGAGCCAAATTGAAAAAAAAAATTGAGTGCGAGCCAATAAACCAATCAGCAAACTCTGATAATAAAACGCATGAATGTGGCTGATTCGAAACAAAGCAAAAATCAACAACAAAAAATGAACCTGAAAAAAAGAAAACATGAAAGAAGTTAATGTGCACATTGAATTTTTCAGCCTTTTCTCTTCATTTCCAAATTAATCTTAAACAAATTAGAATATTACCAGACATTGTCATTTTTCTTTCATTTTGTTACAATGTAAATATTCGCATATTGGCACTTTTCATTTAAATTTGAATTTGAAGTACAAAATGTTATTTAAAATGATATGTATGATCCTCTTAAAATACAATTGTTTACCAGAGCAATTTAAGACAAAGATTACCTGTGTCCAAAACAATTGAAGAGTTTTCCCCCCATTTTTGTTGCAATATTGCAAGAGCCCCAGACTGATATACAATGTACACACCTATTTTAGCTGCCAAATCTATTTAGTCCTTTTGACAAATTCCTCCTAGATTCCCAGACTCAGCATGCAGCTTAAATAGAATTGGATACCAGCCTAGGACATGAACAGGGCACGGTCTAGATGAGTCTGGCCAGGGAAGGGGAGTTGTAGCAAGCTGCCTTGCTGGAGCGCAGAGCGGCGCTTGCATTCTGCTGGAAGGTGGGGGACTTTGAGTTTGAGTTTGACTTTGTGGCACCCGACAGGGAAGGGGAGTTGTAGCAAACTGCCTTGCCGGTATGCAGAGGGGTGCTTGCGTTCCGCTGGTAGGCAGGGGGCTTTGTGGCACCCGATAGGGATGGGGAGTTATACTTATAGCAAACTGCCCTGCCGGTACGCAGAGCAGTGCTTGCATTCTGCTGGTAGATGGGGGGCTTTGTAGCACCCTGGTTGGGCAGAATGACTGGGTGCTGATAGCAGTTTTTGCCAGATTTATTGCCGTCATTTTGACCATAGCCAGCCCTTTCCCTGTTTGGTGCCTGACGGGGGCGCTCTGCGCTGTACGGGCGGGACGGCACGGGGTGTGTCTGCGCGCGGGGGCGGGCTGCGTACGCTGCGCCAAGCTTGGCCTGGCCGTACGGGACGGCTTCTGAGCGGGAAGAAGAAGCCCTGCGCAAATCAGGGTGGTCCTGGAAACCACCCTCAGCGTAAGGGCTGATCACTGAAACACCCGAGCTGTTGTGATCCTCGAAACGACCTTCAGCGTAGGGGCTGATCATTGAGCCATCCGAGTTGCCACCTGACAAAGGCCACCTGCGGGAAGCCGGACCTGCGCCGTTACCTGGGGCTTTGCTACTCCTAACCACACACCAGGCACAGAACAAAATCACCGGCCACTCAACAGCGGCCAGTAACCAGCCAGCAACTGCCAACACCTTGTACCATGTGCATGTGTCGTCAAGGCCACCATGAGTCGTGCTAGTGGGCAGTGGTGTAGAGGGGATACTGGCCGAGTGTGGTGTCTTGTTTGTGAGAGGTATCTCTGTCGCTGTTGTCATGTCAGAGTGTGCGCGCTCGCTTGCCACAAAGACGGCAGTGTGGGAGCCAGTTTCGGAAGAAGCCGTACATGTGGTGTTCCCAAAGGACAAGGGCTCGGTGCCCGTGGTGTCAAGCCAAAGGGTAAAGCAGGACTTCCCCATGTAGTTTGAACACAGGCTGTGATTTCCTGATTCTGGTACCTTGCATTTCACCCACCCCTCAGCCTTTAGGGCGGTCACCACCCTCACGGTTAGGTTACCTGTCGGGAGACTGTCGTGTGTGGTCGTGTCTTTGTCGTACGTCATGTTAAAGGAGTGTCGTGAGTCGTTTGCAGGGAAGGTCCAGGACACTTGGGGCAGCTGTTCCCAGTACACCCTGCCAATGGCCCTGTACTTGTTATCAGCAATGCGTTCGGCTGTAACGATCTCCACTAGCGGTGGCGGGCAGGGCAGTGTGTTGCTGGGATAGACTGGCGCGGGGAGGTTTTGCATCAGCACCGAGGGGGGACAGCTGGCTGGATGGGGAGAGCCTATGTTGACTATATAATGCCACTTGAACTTCGGGTCCTTGACACTCTCGTTTTCGTACAGCCAATCATTTGCACATGTACAGCGCAGACGATTGCTCATGTAGATTCTTTTGTAAGACAACCCCCTCCCTTCCAGTGCAATGGCGGCAACACCATTTCCATACACGACGAGAGTGCCTGGAAACGATTGCTTGAACCAACTACCAGACAGAAAGGTCAGCCTGTTTTCTGCAAGGTTTAGGGAATTCAATTTTGTGTTTGAGTGGAACGCGCCATCAGCAATGTGGGAGATTTTATTACCCTCCAGGTTCAAGTACTCCAGTCGCTCAAGCCCATGGAACATTGCCGCGTCGATCGAGCGCAGTTTGTTCTGCACAACGCGGACATATTCTACGGGCTTGATCGCCTGCAGGGTCCCCGGTTCTACGTTAGTGATGTGATTGGCACTTACGTCAAATCCGGGTGGCTGCACTCCCAGGAACGCGCCTGGCGACAGCGTCAGGATTTGGTTGTCCACCAGACTGAGGTAGGACAACCTGGGCAGCCCATGGAAGCAGCCATCCTGCAGCAGAACCATACACAATACAGATGGCTCACGGAGTTCAATTTGAAGCATCGCATTAGTTGAACATAAACTTTATTTCTACAACAATTTTACACAACAAGAACCATATTATGAGACTTGTCTACCTCACAAAGAATATCTTATTTGAGATGAGTCCTATATTAAAAAAAAATTGGATGTCAATGTGTGCTATTTGTCAAACCCCATTACCTCCAGATGTGTCAGGTTGTTCTCGAAGAGCAGCAGATACTCGAGACCCTTCATCCCAGCAAACGTGCCGTTCTTCAGAGTCTGGACATTGCTCCGCCAGATGACCAGGGTAGATACCTGTGGCAACTTAGCAAACGCCCCTACCTCTATTGCCGTTAGGTTACAATCCACAAACCACAGCCTGCACATTCTACCACATGGGATCTTTGAGAGGATCTCTGCCTTGTCAGTGCCAAGCTTTCCGACATTGTTGCCAACAATCATGATGCTGGTTCTCATTTGTGGCGAGGGGTTCTGAGTGGGACCCCCCTGGGTAGGCCTTGTTTCGTTTGAGCAAATCTGACAGGACTGGAACACCTGACTCAAAGCAAAATATCCATTAAAGGGCCCTTTGTAGCTTGTTCCTTTGGACGGGTACTTGGTCCACTTGTACTGGTACGCTCCAATATCATACCGGTACTCATGACCATCGCTACGGCTGTCACCTACACCACACTTCGCCACGGGCACTTCACGGCAGCTCTGCCAGCTACCTGCGTCTACACATGGCACTAGCAGCTGCATAAGCAGCAACAAAGAGACTTTTGCCATCAGCTTTATCGCCATGATAGAAGGTTAACACACCATACTATTGAAAGCAATGAGCTAATAGTCAACAGAAGGCTTACCACATGACAAGTTGGTTTTGTACAGCACAGAAAGCAGCCGTGTTCCCTCCACGGGTGCGCAACAGCGCTCTGATCCTCACCAATCACGCAGCCTGTCATGCATTTTGATTGTTATTGCAAGAACCAACCAACAAGAATGCCCTTGACAAGGGCGTTGTGAAAGCACAGACGCATTTTTAGGAGGCTTAAGATTTTACAAGCCGCATGCTTTGCCATATTGCAACTTACGAACAATGTATTAGTCTGTGTATGAAGGAAACACAAAATGATTGCTAGCTTCACATCTTTGATCCAAATATGCATTTTCATAACAGCTAGCCTGTCAAAGATGCTTGTGGCCGGGTGAATATACGCAACAGGCTGACAAATAAGAAAACAAGAAGTTGACAAAAACTTGGTAGAATTTATTAGCCTGATGTTTCTGATTTGTGCAGTGAAGATTTATCCCTCTGTGTCAGATGTAGGAGTTTTGTGCTATTTATATTATATACTTTGTTTTGCAAAACTTTGCAAGACAAGAATGCCCCGTACCGCCAGTCTTTAGGGTCCTGACCTAGTGGGGTCATGATGTAAGCATGTCTGTCATTGTCGTGAGAGACCAGAATGTAAGGTTATTGGTCCTGTAAACATGAACGTAAACATAAAAACTTCCTGTGCTGTATAAAAAAGGTTCGTTGTTGCTTGAACCTTTTTTATACTTAAAATTCTCTGGACATGTGGTTGATTGAAAGTTTCCTGCCAAAAAAAATGATTGTGCTTATTGTCTGTGTATGACAGAGCTGATAACACCTTGTAACTTGACCTTGTTTTCATGTGATTCTGTAGTTAGCTGTGTGCTGAGGGTTTGCCAGCTCCGCAAGTGTTCCTGTCCAGATGAGATTAGACTTGTGATGGCAGAGGCACCAGGTGATCGGATACAGGAGGATCAGGCCAGGTGAGGAAAATTGGAACTCTGCATTTTGCTTACCATTTACTTGATTATTTGAGACAAGTATGTAACTTGGTATCTCTACATAGTTAGGTGGCTGCTGACTGATGCAGTAGTGATGATTCCTGTCTGAACCTGACAAGACTGGATTGGACCAGACCAGACCAGGCGACCCTATAAGAATATCAGGTGAGAAAGATCTTAATTCTGTATTTTGCAAATTCCACTTGCTTGGTGTATTTGAGGAAAGTGTGTAACTTGTTGCCTCCGGGGGAGGAGACATCCTTCCGCGGAAGGGCTTTGTGAGAGTTTTAGAATTTCACGTTCGCAGCGATTCCTCGCGTTTGAGTGGACGGATTCTTTTGAGACTCGGTATATGTTTTGCTATCGGGCTGCAGATGATGCACGTTCTTTTGTTTTTATTGTATATGTGTTTTCGGGCGTGAAAATGGAGCCTTTTGATGGCCCCAGAACACCCCTTGAGTGAGAAAGTGGGTCGCGACCGTCGATCTTTTGCGTGTGTCAGATATAGTTGGTCTCGTCCACAGTCGCACAGAGGGGTGAAGGGTCTCAATAAATTCTTAGTCTTGCGGCGCGCAACAATTGTTGTTGTGCACATACATCTTCTGTATGCGAGGCGCAACAAATATTGTTTGGAGGGTATTTTTAGTACGCGTTCACAGGACGCGTGATCGGCAGCAACTTCCGGGTTGGTCAATGGGTCAGGGGTCAACGTACTCTTGCGCAATCTTTGTTTTGGATGTTTTCGGCGTATATTACGACTACTAACTTACAAATACCGCGGTATACGGTCTTAGACGTTCTCGGCGTGCATTTTTACCGAGGATTCAGACCTTTACTTCCCCGATTTATATGAAGAATTGGCGGAAAATGGAGGAAGTGACAATAAGGATGGCTTGCTACTTCAGCCGTTATTTTTAACGTCTGATTTAACGGTTCCGGTTGTCATTCTGAGTTTCATTACGAGTTCATTGCGGCAGATTAAATAGAAGTTCATAAGTTCATGGGTACATGTTATGGGGATGAAAATGTTGACCTGTGTTAACACAACCAGGAACGCTAAACACATAAAATTCAACACCATCAACTATACATAACAAACAACATATAGAAATATACAATAAAAAGCCCGGAGGTATAAAATCTCAGATTTTACTTGTTATATCTGTAATATAGTACTTGGTAACTTCTTTCTGTTGCTAATATGTCAGAATTACAGTCACTGTAACTTTAAAGAAATAACACACAGCCTAGATTTTTTTTGAGTTACAGCATTTTTTATTTTTCTACATCAGATTTATTGATAAGCAAATGGATATTTCAATTGTTCAATCTTGTCTATCATTTAATGGCCATTCGAATGGGAGATGTTTGTGCTTCACACTAATTATCCCTTCATTATTACATGTAGGTGTGTCCTGACGTTCCTGTGCTGACTGGCAACTCCTGTCCACTGCAGACCAAATGAGAGCTTAGCAAACTAGTTGACTTGAAGACACAGACAACATTTGAGACACAGCACAGAAGAAGACCAAGACATTGAACTGGTAAGTTTGTATTTCCAAACATACATTTCAAAGGTTGACATGTTACAAAGATAACCTACATAGTGCCATTAGTGGCAGTTTTGTCTGTATTGAATATAAACATTTTTTGGGGTTGGCTACATCCTTTTTTTGTAAAATGTAATCAGATTTAGCTATAAGTACATCTGATTCGATGGAGGTTAAACATGCAGGTGATGAGATGAATATTCAGCAGAAAACTGTTACTCAAGCAACTGGATAGATTTTGAAAACTATCAGACATTTAAAGAAGCATCCACCTCTTTTCTTCAGACCGTGAATACGAAAGTACTGTGAAAAATCGTAATTTTCCGTAAATCTTAGAGCACACCAATTTCAGATTTGCCTGCTTGATTTTTTCATGATTTCCAAGAAAATTATGCTCACATTTTGGCACATAAACAAAGCCCTTGTCTTCCTTGTTACTGTCACGATTTTTCCATTTATCCATGCAGTGATTTGATTTAAAGATGAAAATTCATTGTTCGAGTTATATAAACCAGCGGTTTGTGGCTCCTACCATACCACAGTGTATTTGGAGTATAAAAGGATGCCAGGCGGACTAATTAAAAAATTTTCCCCAAAAATCTGTGATAAAATTGGCATGACCATTGTAAACATTTTCTTAGGAAGGCCAATTGCTGACTTTTGTTTTTCTGTTTTCAAGATGACATTAGCAGGAGGAAGGACCAGACTTTTGTTGACAGATCTCAACCTGAGTGTGTAAAAGAAGATGGGGAGGTGTGAGTATGTTTCCTTATTAACACAAGACAACACTCCATGTGCACACACTTGCACTCGCAGTTCTCTCTTTTGCCCAGTTCACTCTACTCTGAGGGTCAGCAAGCCTTTTTAGGTGAGGAGCCATTTGACGTTAATCATCTTTAATTCCATGACAATTAGCTGAATGCCAAATTGCCCAAAAATTGTCATTTTGGACCTCTATAACAAAAGTATCTTTGTCCGCCACTTCAATTCCACGTTTTAATCCTGAATTCATGTTAAGCATCACTGAAAATTTTTCATATTTAGTTGAATATGCCAAATTGCCCCAAAATTGTCGCTTTGGACCTATACACAGTTAAGTTCTCCCGCCAAAAAGCTTTGAATGAACTCCACATTGTTATCGTCTTTGTATCGTATAGTATAGTGGAATGCCAAATTGCCCCAAAATTGTTGCTTTCGACCTGTACACTTCTAAATTCTCGTGCCAAAAAACTTTGTATCATAGTCGGCCACGTTGTTATCCTGAATTCCTTTTTTTTAGTGTCATATCTTAGCCGGGCACATTAATTTAATAGCTCTCGTCTTCAAAATTTGTCGATTTGGACCTTTGTTTGCACCCAAAGAACTTAGCAGGCCACATTAACCCCACAGTGATTCCTTATTAAGTCCATTTTCCCGCCAAAAAAAAAAACTAATTGGCACCCTCACCTGTTTAATTAATTGGATTAAGTTTTCCCGCCAAAAAACTTAGTATATAGAGCACTCTAACCTTGAACTTGTGCCCCCCTCCCCACTCTTCCTGCCCACCTCCCACACTTCAGAGTATGTTAGTTACACTGTTCTCTGGACTTCTTCGAACATGTAGTCACCACACTCTGCTACACAAACACTTTGTTGATCGAGGGCAGTTTTTTCACCACTTAGACTTTAGAATAATCTCTCGCTCTCCTGGTTGGTCAATGCACTAAGTGTACTCCCCGGGGGATGTCTTTTCGGAGACATTGATGCTTCGACACATCAGTATACCAGTGCAATTGACTTACCAGGAGAGCGAGAGATCATTCTAAAGTCTAAGTGGTGGAAAAACTGCACTTGATAAACCAAGTGTTTGTGTAGCAGAGTGTGGTGACTACATGTTCGAAAAAGTCAAGAGAACAGTGTATTTACAAACATACTCTGAGTTGTGGAAGAAGTGTGGGAGATGGGCAGGAAGAGTGGGGAGGGGGGCACAAGTTCAAGGTTAGAGTGCTCTATATACTAAGTTTTTTGGCGGGAAAACTTAATCCAATTAATTAAACAGGTGAGGGTGCCAATTAGTTTTTTTTTGGCAGGAAAATGGACTTAGGAATCACTGTGGGATTAATGTGGCCTGTTCTTTGGCAAGACAATTTAAGTGCAAGCAAAGGTTCAAATCAACAATTTTGAAGAGGATAGCTATTAAAGTTTTTTGGCACAAGAATTTAGAAATGTACGGGTCGAAAGCAACAATTTTGGGGCAATTTGGCATTCCACTATACGATACAAAGAGGATAACAACGTGGAGTTAATTCAAAGCTTTATGGTGGGAAAATTTAACTGTCTATAAGGTCCAAAGCGACAATTTTGGGGCAATTTGGCATATATACAAGCTATGAAATTAATGTGGCCAACTAAGATACAAAGAGATAACAACGTGGAGTTAATTCAAAGCTTTTTTGG